TGGGCATGTTGTATCCCCATTTTAGGTATTCCCATCAGTTACAGGCAGAAGACGGACTTACAAGATTTCTATGGTGATATTTCTGGCTATTTCTTTCTCTCCCCCTCCAGTGTCTATTTTATAATATAATGCAAGGAAAACCAAGATTCATAGACATCCAAACATCTTAACATTATTTCCCCCCTTTTCCCCATTCCAACCATGTCTCAATACCTGTATCACAGAGCCCTGTTGTTCAAAGGTTGTACATACATCATTATTTATCTCTGTCCCACTTAGCACATGCAAACCTGCCTGATTGTTCTCCCATCCACTTTGTTCTTCCATTCCCCTCCCCCTTCTTTTATATTACCCCCCCTCCCCAGCACCCGAACTATCCTGTGTCTATTCCCTGCCCTGTGCTCCCACCTTCCCTTTCCTCCCCTCACCCCACCTCCCACATTTCAGCAACCAGCAAAGAACCCTGACCCCCCTTTATTATGGGTTCTTTTTCTTAGTCTTTTACAGTAGTGGTCCTATGCAGTATTTCTCCTTTTGTAACTGACTAGTATCACTCAGCATAATATCCTCAAGGTTCATCCATGTTATGCAGTGGCTTGCAGCTTCCTTGTTATTCTTCAAGGCAGCATAATATTCCATTGTGTGTATGTACCACAGTTTATCCATTCTTCAGTTGGTGGGCACTTTGGCTGTCTCGATCTTTTTGCTATTGTAAATAGTGCTGCTGTGAACATTGGTGTGCTTATATCTATTCGTATTATGGCTCGTATTTCTTATGGGTAAATACCAAGTAGAGGAATTGCTGGATCAAAAGGTATTTCTATTTCCAACCTTCTGAGGAAAAGCCATATTGCTTTCCAGAGAGGTTGGACCATTTTTCAATCCCACCAACAATGCAGGAGCATTCCAGTCTCTCCACATCCTCACCAGCATTTATTGTCCTCTACTTTTTTCATCTTTGCTGTTATTGTTGGTGTGAGTTGATATCTCGTTGTTTTGATTTGCATCTCTCTAATGGCTAGTGATCGTGAACATTTCTTCATATGTTTGTTGGCTGTGCATTGGTCTGTTTTTAAAGATGTTTGGTAGTCCATACATCTCAGGACCGCTAACAGACACGGAATCATGATTGCTTTTATTAGAGGGCATTTGGGACATACGGAAAAAGCTGTCTGCACCAGAAACCTTCAAAAAGTTCCCTTCCCTATGTGATGTCCTGCCGGATGCTCTACCAAGGAGACCACACAGTTCTGCTCCTGGCTCTCTGGGGTCTTCCACCTGGTTTCCCACAGTGTTTTGTAACTTCAGCATTTGTCCCCTGTCCTAGATTTACAGAACGTGAACATCACACTGCGCATCCTGTTCCGGCCAGTTGCCAGCCAGCTGCCGCGCATCTACACCAGCATCGGAGAGGACTATGATGAGCGTGTGCTACCGTCTATCACGACTGAGATCCTCAAGTCGGTGGTGGTGAGTGCTTAGGGGGCCCCCAGCCTGGAGTGTGGCCCCGGGTGTTGTTAAGGGGGTAGGACGAGCTTTGTAACGGGTTGGTTGGGATGCACTGTGTCATTTCTTGGTTCCTTGTCTGCCTCCTCACAGTCTTGTCCTGTTCCTCTGCTCTCCCTTTGATACCAGGCTCGCTTTGATGCTGGAGAGCTCATCACCCAGAGAGAGCTGGTCTCCAGACAGGTGAGCGACGACCTCACAGAGCGCGCAGCCACCTTCGGGCTCATCCTGGATGACGTGTCGTTGGTAAGATGCGCAGGGAGCCCATGGGGAAAGTGTGCAGTTCTTACTGAGCTGTCTGGTTCCGTGTCCGGGAGGCACTATTAGGTTCAGTCTTCCACCTTCCTGGATGTGAGACTTGGAAATGTGAGGCCGTCTCCCTGGGTTCATTTTCAAATTAGGGTTCTGTTACCTCCGCTCTCCACACGCATTTTTCTTAGGACCTCTGTCCCTACCCACATGGTCCCAAACCACCAGCTTTTCACCTTCCCAACAAGGTGAGCATTCCCCAAAGCTCCTCAGGAAGTGATGTCCTGTTGACCTCAGGTAACACAGGAAGAAGCTGCCTAGTAAGTAGAGTCTTACAGAACCTCAGGCAGTCTTCTCTCCCCTAACTCTGACCCCCTGCCTAATCCCTGGGGCTGTTCTAATACTTCTGGTCTAAAGCTCAGTGAAAAGAATTCTGGGAACCCCCAGTGAAAGGTGATAGAGTGTAAAGGAGTGGCTCTGTTCCCCAAAGCCTGGTGTGGGGGTCAGGGGACATCTCTGAGGCATAAGCTATCCTCTTGGCCCTTTATAGACTGAGTATTAATGTGACACTGAGTGTCATAACTCAGAAAGCAATACAAACAGGGTAGCCTTTTAGATCCAGGAGGGTGAAAGGGGTGGGTCGTGTTTCTAGATTCTCTGGGAAAAATCATTTGGAGTGATTTATTCGGGCAGGAAGGTAGAGTGTTTCCTGCTCCGTTCTCTTGTGCATCGCTAGGGAAAGGCACGGTTTCCCCTCAGCATCTGCGCAGCTGTTTAAACAGTCTCACTCGCAACACCCAGTCCTAACCCTCAGGGCACTCATTGCTCCACCTTGCATCAATTGTGGAAAATGGAAGGGCTTGTGGGCGCCCTCTACTGGCAAGGTGCCAGCCTGCAGTCATTTCTGTCCCAGTGACTCTTAAACCTGAACACTTGGGCTGAGAAAAATTGCTAAGTACATCCCAAGCAGCAGCTTGGCACTTTACTAGGCTGTAACCACAGACTCCATTCTGGGCTAGTGTGGCGTGGCCACAAGAAGCCATATCTAAGAGGTGTAAGAAGAAAATGGGATTTCATGGGGAATTTGCTGCCCTCGGTTGACCCTTTTGCAAATAAATTTTACTCTTTAATTATACGTTGCATTTTTTTATTCCTCAGAATTACATTTTCTACCCCAGACTTTGAGCAGGGATCTCAAAATGGACCAGGCAGAATAGAACAGCTGCGGTTTAAGAGGAGCGTTGAAAATCCTGGGAGAAAGTGGGAGCAGGATTTGGTCTTAGGGTGAGGTTTTGGGTTGCTCTGTATTTTAAAATGTAGCAGGGGTTGAGAGAATAGAGGAGGAAATGAAACTAATAGGAACTTGATAGAAGAACCATTGCTTTTCTTCCCTCCTCCCTTTTTTTTTCCCCCTTTTTAATAAAAAGCTAGTTGAGTAAGTAAATCACTCTAGACAAGGTATGTGGAGTTCTGAGATCTGTCTCCATTGTTTGCACTTTTATAAGTCACTTTGGCCAAGTCTCAAGTTATTCATGATGTTAAAGAAAAGAAATGCATGGATAAATGGAATTTAAGCCCTCGCCTTTACCGATGGCTTTACCTGCCTCCTTATTCTTTTAAACCCTTCACCAGAACCAGTCACAGATAAAATAGCATAATTTGAATCCCCCATCTCCCTCTTCCTTTTCCTGTTTGTGATGGAGAGGCCATGAGAAAGGCGTGGCCTGGTTATAACCCATAAGCAGAGCGCATCAGCTGCTGGAATCTCTGAGAACCAGCTGTATCTCCCCGCTCTCAGGGGCCCCATTTTCCTTCTGGCCTTTCTTAGTGCTTTTTGAACCAAAATTCAAAAGACCTTGGAAGAGTACAAGTCAGTGGTGGGGGTCCTAAAGCCCTCATGTCCGTTCCCTAGGGAGCTGGCCAACTGAGCAGGTACCCTCTAGTGACCTGAGCAGAGCCTGGGGTGCCATTTTCTACCTGAAATGGCCACACCGAGGGTGACAGTGGTGTACAGAAGCAGTTTGGTCTGCCAAGGATGCTGGGGTGTGAACTCACTTGGGACAAGAATGTGGACGTGGAAGGGTGTTCTGGTGCTGTGGATGTCTCCAGCTGCTAGAGCCATCGCTGGCCTTTCCTCCCAGCAGTGCTGTCTAAACAATTAACGCTGCCTCATATTGGACCCATTCTCTTCCCTCAGACGCATCTGACCTTTGGGAAGGAGTTCACAGAAGCAGTAGAAGCCAAGCAGGTGGCTCAGCAGGAAGCCGAGCGAGCCAGATTTGTGGTGGAAAAGGTAAGTGTTCCAGCAGATGGCAGGAGACTCTTTCCCCTTTCTTCTGTGCTCAGCTTTCCCGTTTGCTGGGTGGCCTGGAAATTCATCATCTGTCATCTCTTCTTCCAGGATAATCGGAAGGGAACTTGAAGGGACCATGCTCCTGCAATTGATTGCAGCGTCTGTGGGGGCTAGTCAGGGATATGTGAAGTTATGTTCCGAGACTACTGAAGGCTCATTTTTTTCCCCCTGCTTCCATAAGATCAAAAACATTCTCCTACAAATAAAAATGTTTCTCTGGAATATTTTCGGCTTCACTGGGAAGTCATTTGTAACCAGGTTACATAGTGAAGGCAGTTTGCAGAAGGGATCAGACAGTGACCAGATGTGCTATCTGTTACTAGGCTTTTTTTTCCAAGCACTAAATCCATCCAGATGTGTTAGTGTGATAGGCACAATCTATTTGCAGAGCGGTCTACTTTTCCTGGTCTTTGTAAAGGTGTTATTTACTTCTAGATGTCCCCTCTCCCTACCACCGCTTGAATTATTCCTAATCCAAGATCTTAGTCCACAGAATCAGGGATGGTGGGCATTCAGTTTTGGAGACTAAATTCCATGTGTGCAAGAACTTTTTTTTTTTTTTTGCTTTGTATCTACTGTGTTCTCCAGAGCCTAGAACAAGTCTACAACTGTGCCTGATCATACCAGGTGCTTAAGAAATAACTTGGTGAGGGAACCGAACCTAGCAGTTTGAAATTGTGTATTAATTGCCTCTGCAGATATGTCACCTTGTGAGTAATGGGACGGAAGGCCTAGGAGGTCCCACTCTGGGCAGCACCCATGAGAGGCAAATACAGATAGCTCTTCTTAGTTCTACTGGTTTTAAAGAAAGTCATTTTGCCCCTGGACCAGAGGGAAAGATGAGCCTGAGAATTAATTCCTCTTCTCTCAAACCTGTTTTCCTTGGCCTTGAATCCTCTGAGCGCAGAGTAAGGTGGCTGGAACAGGTTGCTACTGATATTAACGATGACTTTGAAATAAGACAGACATGTATGCAGCCAGCAGATAGTATCCCTATAAATCTCAAAAGTGGGTATCAAAAGAGGAGGGTTGAGTGAGAAATGTGCTTGTTGACCTCATCAGGAAGAGGAAGGAGAAAGAGACAGCAAAATTCTCTGAATTTCTTTAGGAACCAACCGGTTCATTTCTTGGCCCTGGCAGCCCTGTGGCTTGATCTTGATCTCTCCCCTCTTCCACACTTAGGCTGAACAGCAGAAGAAGGCAGCCATCATCTCTGCTGAGGGCGATTCCAAGGCAGCCGAGCTGATCGCCAACTCTTTGGCTACTGCGGGTGACGGTCTGATTGAGCTGCGCAAGCTGGAAGCTGCGGAGGACATTGCCTATCAGCTCTCGCGCTCTCGGAACATCACCTACCTGACACAAGGGCAGTCAGTGCTTCTCCAGCTACCCCAGTGAGGCCGCCCTGCCCACAGTCCGCCGAGTCTTCACACAGCCGAGGTCCCTCTGCCCCACCCCAGCAATCACTGTGAGATTTCATGATTGGCTTAAATAGTGAAGGAAATAAAATCACTTCAGCTCTCTCATTACTCTAACAAATGAAGCTCTTTCCTTTTTTTTAACCCACCCTACTTGATCCCACTCCCACATTTTGCCACGTGCCTGCCTGCGTAGACTGGCTTTGGGCCCCCTATTTGGGATCTGCGGGCGCTTCAGCCTGGGCACTGGCTGTTGGCAGAAGAAAGGCAGGGCAGCGGATGTGATGGACCCGGAGCACAGAGGTTGGTTTGAGTGAACATGTAGCCTCAAGCTCTCCTTTAGAGAAGATTAGAAGACCATGGCGCCCACAGCTGAGCCGAAGGCAGGCCCCCGTGTTCCAGCTGAAGTGGGGCTGGGGAAGGTCAGAGAGGAAGTAGCCTGTCTTTTTACCAGCAGGCTGATTCTCTTCAACTGTGGGGCCAGCGGAAGCAGGTGTGTGCAAACAGACCATGGATGGAAGGGTTTCCCCCTGTTGAGGTGGGTGGGCCTGATTTTGCTGCTCCCCAGGGTCCTAAAACGGGGAATGGACTTGGATAGGTGAGAGAGGAGGCCTGGACTGAGATGTGGAGCCTGTGGCGGGCTTCCGCTCCACCTCCTGCGTTGGTCACCCTGGAATACTCTGCAGAATTCCAGCTTGAAGGATTGCATCCTGCTAGGCCTGAAGGTACCTGCCAAAAAATGTGTCCTGAGTTCCTGTCTCCTTCATTCAAGCCTCTTCTGGAGAGCTCGAAAACAGCCAGGAGGCAAAAAAAAACAAATACGTGTAAACTGTCAATAAATAAACGCCCAGACCTTCCAGCTCAGCCTTACGGGTTTGTGTTTTTGTTTGTGGGAGCTGTGGGACCAGAACAGAGTGTTCTAATAGTTTGTGTGCACATATTTGTGTTGCCAGCTGGGACACTCCAGCAAGGCAGAGAAGGCTTTGTGCTGCGTTCCAGAGCCATCCCAAGCCTGGAATGAATTTCAGCAGGATGGGGTGAGAGATTTGTTGGGAGGTGGGGTTCTTGGAGGAGAGGGGGTGGATGTTGGTTAACTTTTATGCCTGGCTTTCCGTACCACAACTCCCAACAGGGAGCCCTGGTGGCACAGTGGTTAAAGTGGCACACCAAAAGGTCAGCAGTTCAAACCTCCCAACTGCTCTTGGGGACACAGATGTAGCAGTCTGCTTCTGTAAAGATGTATAGCCTTGGAAATGCTGTGGGGCAGTCATACTCGTCCTTGAGTAACTGGACAGCAGTGGATTATTCCTAATGGGATCGGAGGTCTGCCAACCATGCAGCAACACTTTAGCCCCAGGTTGGGCGCTTTGCAGCAGGCCCAGGTGGTGGAGGTTAAACAGATCTAGGATTATGACGTGCCCTGTATCCTTCACTCACCTTAAATCCTTTTGAGGTGGAAGCCACACACTAAGCCTTGAGTGTGCTAAGTTTAACCTCGGCTCCCACTAATCCCTGCGCTCAACACCTGGCTACACCTGGCCTGGGAGAGATCTTTAAGAGGACTGCATTTCCGGTCCTGAATGACTGGGGCAGCTGTCAGCTGGGATGCGGAATCTTTTGGGAGGAGTTGGGGGTTGAATTCTCCCAATCCCTAGCCCCTGTACCTCTCCCAGGGCCTCTGGACACAAAGATAAGGCCCTTGCATCCAGCTTCCTCCCTGCATCCAGCTTCCTCCCTGTGAGCAGTGTGTGATGGGACCCTGAGCCTAGCTGAACAAAAGCCTCATTCGCATCCTCCTCCACCCCACCCCACCCCCTCCCCCCGCCTCCCATCTCCCTGCTACGGCCCCCAGCATTATTTACCCCAGTCACGGAGATGCCTCTCCCCACTGTGTTGTTGCTGAACACAGCATGCACATGATGAGGTGCCTAGACTCCAAGTGCACTAAAGACTGAAGCAGAAAGCGTAATTCCTAAATAAGTTCCAGACACACTTCCACAATGCGGCCCTCCTCCTTTCCTGCCGTTTATTGCTTTGGATGCCCTTTGGCTTTGGCGGGGCTAGGGCAGGAGGCTTCTCTCTCTTTCCCAGGCCTTTTTAAAAAGAACAGTTGCGTTTCCTGCATTTGGCAGGCGATTGAGTTTCATGCTCCAGGTGTAGGCAGGGGGAGCCCTGAGCTGAAGTCTCCTTTCTGGCTTCTGGGTTCCTTTTGCCTTCAGACCAACCCTTTCAGCAGTAGGTCAGTTTCCTGCTGGTTTTGCCCCCGTGCCATAGACATTCCAGTGGCAGCCGGGGGTCTCCTGCTCTGTTGACTTCTGCCAAGTAATTCTTTTCACTAATGTTTGGGGCCTGCTAACTGGCTGCTTAACCCGGAGTCCATCCATGGCCACAAAGAGCCTTGGGTCAAAAGCTATGTCCCATGAATTTATGCAGAGCAGTGTCTTCCTCAGTCTCTCCTGTGCTTGGGCTGAGTAGACCCCTTGTTCAAGCTCAGAGGGTCACTTACTAAGAAAGCAACGGACCCTGGACAGCAAGACAAGGAAAGACACAGGATTGTCATTTCCCTTCCTTCTGCTGCTGTTAAAGTGCCATCAAGTTGGTTCCAATTCACAGCGACCCTGTATAGGGTTTCCAAGGTGGTGGTTTGAACTGGTCAGGTTCGCAGTCCAGTGCTTATCTTACCATACCACACCTTTTGATAGTGTGACCTGAAGGTGTCAGAGCAGACTTGTGAATGTCCCTTTGTTGTTAAGTGCTGTCAAGTGGGTTCTGACTCATAGTGATTCACTCTATAGAGGATTTCTGAGGCCAGAGGTCTTTATGGGAGCAGAAAACCTCATTTTTTCTACCTAGTGTGGAGCTGCTAGTGGGTTTGAATGGCTGAACAGAGGTTTATTTGAAAGATAGAGAAAGATAATGGGATTCTGATTTAGCATTAGGTTGAGTCCTGGTGTGGCGCTGTAGGATAAGCACTGGACTGTTCGTCCTGGACAAGATCAGTGGTTCAAACCCTCCAGCATCTCCTCAGAAACCTATACAGGGTCATTCTGAGTCAGAACCTACTTGATGGTACTTAACAATAATACGACAGACGCCCTGGTGGTGCACTGGTTAAATGCTTGGCTGCTGACCAAAAGATTGGAGATTCAAACCCACTCAGCGGCTCAGCCAGAGAAAGATCTGGTGATCTACTTCTGCAAAGATTACAACCAAAAAACACCTCTGAGATAGTTCTTCTCTGTCACATGGGGCTGCTAGGAGTTGGAATTACTGTCATTTCCCAGCATCAACATTCCAGCAATCAGCAGTTAGAATTGTGCAGTTAGGAATTCCCCTTGACCTTTGTCATATGCCAATCACTGTAGTTAATACTGTCTCCCCTGATTGAAAAGAACCCAGGTGAGAAGGCACAGGAGTAAGTGATTTCTCACCCTGCCCACTGCTGTAACGGTTCATTATCTCTAAGCAGGTCTCATTTTCTCCCTGCTGCCAAGTCTTTCACGTTCACTCCTTGCTTGCTTCAGAAGGTGCAGAAGTTTTGTGCTGGCAATTGAGGTTCTCCATGGGCTGTTTACCACTTACCACCTTTCTAGCCTAACCAACTTGACCATTTGCCTTTCCAAACCACCTAGTAGTGCTCAGAGGATAAAGTGGTGTTTCAAAGGCAAGTGGAAAGGGATAGTGATCACTGCTATGAGATGAGGGGGAAAGGAAGACACAGGAATGGTATTTGACCTACAATGCAGGCGACAGACTGGCACAATGAAGACTTACCCCCAAGGTAATGCCAGCAGTGTCCCCAGTGGAAAGATGACCCAACCAAGTCCCTTGCCCTAGACCTTCATCACGTACGTCCCTTTGTTCTCAGGGTCACTTCATCCGAGAACTGCCTTTCCAAGACACTTCATTTGTCCTTGCAGTCCTAGCTTGAATTCTTTCTCTTCCACAAAGTGCCTGCTGATGCCTCACCATTCTCTCCGTTGCTTGAATTCCTCATCCACATCCCCCTGAGACTGTTAACACACTCTGTATTGGATTGTAGTTGCCTATGTGTGTGTGTGTGTGTCTGTGTCTGTGTACTTATTCTGTCTCCTACTCTAATTTATGGGGGGCAGGATCCTTATATGAATCTACTGGTCCCTTTCTCTCTCCCCCAGCTGCTATGCCTGGGTCTGGGTGTGAATGACTAACTAAATGTTTGTTAGGTGAATTCCTAATGTGACAAGCCAACCCCAGCTCGAGGTGATTTATGTGTACCCCAGGTGGTTTTCGGGCTGCGAACCTTAAGGTCAGCGGTTCGAGACTACCAGCCGCTCCGCGGGAGAAAATGAGGCTTTCTACTCCAGTAAGGATTTACACCCTCGGAAACCCTGTCTGTACAGGGTCGCTATGGGTCGGAACCGACTCGACGGCACTTAACAACAACAACAACATCCTTTCAGAAGCAGATTGCTAGGTTTGTCTTTTGAGGCATCTCTTCTGCTGCTGCTGTGTGCCATGGAGTCGGTTCTGACTCATAGCGATCCTGAACAGGGTTTCCGAGGCTGTAAATCTTTACGAAAGCAGAACACCTCCTCTTTCTCCTGTGGAACAGCTGGTAGTTTCGAACTGCTGACCTTGAGGTTCACAGCCCGATTCGTAACCACTACATTACCAGAGCTCTTTTTGAGGCATCTCTGAGTAGGTTCAAACCAACAATCTTTTGGCTAGTAGTTGACTGCTCAGCCATTTGTGACATCAAATGAACAGATGCTGAAGTAGGGAGTGAAGTTGCAGATGAGGTTAGAAATTGAGGTTCTTGACTTTTCCTCCCATGCCATTATGTTATCTCCAGCTACTCTGAATTGGGCTTCCTGTGTCTAGGCAATTCCCCCTCTAATGTCCTCCCCTTGGCTGATTTCCCCAGATTCATCCCTTTCTCACAGTGTGGCTGTCACCTCTTCCAGTATCTGAAACACCGTTCTTCTTCTCCCTCCTCAATCTCTTGCCCTATCACAAGCCCTGCTTAAAATCTTCCTTCTCCAGGAATTCACCTCTGGCTGCCTTCTTCTAAACTTTCCTTTGCATATAAGTTCTTCCTTTAAAAAAGAGGCACTGGCTTTGGAA